ACGCGTAATACCTCTGGTATTGCAGGTGTTCATAGGCTACGGTAACCACTTACCATCAGGTGAGCCGTATGTGGGTTTGCCACCTCAGTGGTATAAAAAAAAAAGTTGGCCTTAGGATATGTTGTACATGGGAGCATGGGACTTCATAGTATAGCGAATGACAGAACTGTATTACATGTATGCTCTTGCGACGAACTACACAACCTCATTAAGAGATTGTTTTCAACTTTTTTTTGGCGTCAAGCAAACAGGCTAAGTACTACTAATATCTTTTTGGATTTGGAATAAGTTTTAGATATTTCTCAATAATGCTTAGTGTAATGTTTATGTCAAAATAGCCCAATAATCCAAATAAAGTGTGAAAGCGCTTTGTTTGTACATTTTAAAACACAGTCAGTCAAACTCGTGCTCGTGTCACTGTCACTCATAAGTATCACGAATTGATTCCGAAACTAGTCGCGCTTTTTCGATCAAATTACACGTACATTAAACCTGTAATTATTGTGTTAAAATATAATGTGTGCTTACTAAACGTTTACCCTTAAATTTTAAAACAGTTTATTATTTTTTATTGTCGCATGGTTTTTAAAATACCTATGATATGAAATGTGAAATTGAAATATAATTAGTAATGAAATAAACACTTTTTTATATGCTAATTTTATTTATAAATTCAAATAAATTTGTATCTACGCCGAACAAAAATCTATATGCAGATCATTTTATGTGCGGCACCCACGGTGCGTGGATGTAACTCGCACTTGACCGGTTTCGAGAGGGGATACGGTCACGTGATTCACTGCCTCGACCCAAACAAGGTTGTAAATCGATTTTAGGGCCAGCACTGACGAGGGACAATCTTCAACGTACCATTTACTCGACTGCCAATGGAAAAAGGAGGTTATTTTTTGCAACTTTCTGTTGTAAATTTAGTAATAGTAATAAATATCTAAAAAATATAAAAACTAAAAAAAAAAAGAAGTAAATTGTAATGATTATGAAATTTAATTATTGTTATGAAAGAGCGGTGTCTCCCAACACAAGCAATCTTTGCTTAACAGGAGATACCGAACCCTGTAATGTTACTAACTACCTTTGTATAAAGAAATAAATTTATTATTATTATTATTAAACTAAAGAAAGCTTGTACAATAGGTACTAGACTACTACGACGGTTCATTAAGAATAGCGCCCTCTAGCGTCAAGAAAACCTAAGCCGCTGTCGTTATATATGTATATAGGGAGTCAGTGGGTACAGGTGGCTCAGGACCATTCCTCATGGCAGTCTATAAGGGAGGTTAATGTCCAGCAGTGGACGTATCATAACTGAAATGATGATGCCATCAGGCATTAAGTCCGCCGTGGAGACACATTTTGCTGTACGTAAAAGTATAAATAAATTACGGATAGTATCTACGTCCCTTTCTACTTACTTGAAACAGGGGGGAAGGTATTGTTACCAATGCAGATTGGGATTGTTAACTCTCATAACTACCAATCCCCTCTCCCTCCACGCAGACGAGGTTATCATCCCAATATTATTTTATAAAAAAGGACTTGAAGCGTAAAAAAAATTATGAATGATTGTTTGTATATATATATATATATATATATATATATATATATATATATATATATATATATATATATATATATATATATATATATATGAGGGGTATGAAAAAATTGTTTAGGGGTGGGTCACCCTTATCATTGAGGGGTATGGAAAATAGATGTTGGCCGATTCTCAGACCTACCGAATATGCACACAAAATTTCATAAAAATCTGTAATGCCGTGTCGGAGGAGTTTGGTAACAAACACCGCGACACGATATGTATATTTATATACATATATATACATATATACATATATATATATATATATATATATATATAATATACCACACCGAATAACATATTCCCAGCTAACAATATGCAAACAGTCACGAAATTGCTCACACAGAATATGTTATGGGCGGGAATAAAAAATATTTCAGACCTTCCCTCATTTGGATTCTTTTAATTGTACATGTAAGCTACTTTATCTACTATTTATCTGGTATTAAGAAGTAATTATGTTTATTAATAGTTTGGGAAACCAAAGCATTTATCAGCGAATCCATGTGACCTGGATATCTGTACCTATCATTCCTACATAGCACATACGGGGCTACCACTCCACTATTATCCATTAAAAAAAAACTACGACGCTCCCATTTCTACATTAATCTACTTCTATTAATAAGTAATTTAAAATCCGCAAGACGTTATAATTAGCAAGTTTCCCAAATCCCCATTCCGTACTAAAAGGCGTCGCCTGAAATTCGTCTCCAGCGAATTCCTTACCTTCTTATTTTTGGCATTCTAAAGCTTCACCAACCATTACAGACTTTGAGAGCATCCCTTTGGACGCTGAAACTTTTTAATGGCACCAATAAAAGCGTAGATTGAAACGTGTCATCAAAATTTAATAGTCCGCCTCTGAGTGTTGCCAGTTGGAATAAAACAAAGAAGTCAATTAATTTTGAACGGTCGGTTAACCGGACCGCACGGGGCCAATTACAACTGTAGCGAGCACAAAACATTGGGGCGGGTTGGGTACTACTGCATACGTATAGAGTGGAAACTACAACTGATCCCGCTCGATTGTTCCTAAATTAATAATGTCAGCGGTAACCTGCAACTATGTGTGTTTATATATATATATATATATATATATATATATATATATATATATATATATATATATATATATATATATATATATATATATATATATATCATATTTCATTCAAATACATTTGTTTTTTATACCACTGAGGTGGCAAACAAGCCTACTGCCCACATGATGGTAAGCGGGTACCGTAGCCTATGAACGCCTGCAATACCAGAGGTATTACGCGCGCGTTGCCGACCCTGAAGAAACCTCTTTACCCCCCTTTTGAGAAACCCCATGCTGTAGTCTCTGAGAAAATTTAAATTTTTTTAAACATATCCAAAGATCTTCACACAAATATTTCTATACATACTATTAATATTTTTTTATTAATAATATTGATATAGTAATATTTTATATATATATAAATACGTATTTATTATATGTATATATTTAATAAAGAGCCGACAACCGATGGGTAAGAAAGGTTCTTGAGTGGCGACTCCGAACGGGAAACGCAGTGTAGGACGACACCCCACTGGATGGAGTGACGACCTCAAATGCATTGCAGGGAGGCAGTGGATACAGGTGGCTCAGGACCGTCCTTTATAGCAGTCTGTGAGGGAGGCCTATGTCCAACAGTGGACGGAGAATAGCTGAAATGATGTTGATGATTACACATTTATTTAATTAACATATTATATGTATGTTTATATTAGTGTAATATAGATAGATAGATAGATAGACAATTTATTTACATTACTTACAGCACACAAATTACAATAAAAAAAAAACCATACACGTAATACACAGCAAAAGAGACAAAAGAATAAAAATAAAAAAGCACAAATAAAAAAAAAATACAAAAACAAAATACATAATCTAACAATCTCCTTTGTTACCATTTCTTCATGCGTGTGCCATAGTAACACAAAATGGTCACAGCTCAGTTTATAATACATAAATATATTAAGTATTACTTTATATTTCCTCTATTCAATAATACACCGCCTACTTATTTCTCGGTTTGTCCAATGGTTGACTGGTAGAGAACACCGTCCGGTGTTAAGTCCGCCAAATGTACATAGAATTTATCTGTGCATTAGCTTAAAAAAAAATATAACATTAATAAAAAACAATATCGAAATAGACAATTCTAAACTAATTTAAGAAATTGTTTTGAAAAAAATTTTATAACCAATTACAAACAATATAATATAATAAAACGTAATGAAAAAAAAATGATCAAACATTTTCAGAATTAGCGAAAATATCGCATAAAATGCACACAAGAAATATAAACTGGAAAAATAAGAACGACATCGCTCGCCTACTGCGGTGTAACTATAGCAACAACTCTCTCTCTCTTACATAGATAATCAACTGAAATCTCCCTTTCTCTCTCTGTCTCTTATACATATAATAATAGCTTTACTCTCTCAACACCCCACCAATAAAAGTCGCTCGTTCTAACTCCCATAATATTTAAATTAATAAGCGGTATCGTTGACTTATTACGGTGACTCGAATTCTTCGGGATTCAATCGAGTCGATTATTCCGAATTGATTTTATGAACATTCTTTAGTATAATCGGATATGTAGAAAATCGAAAAAGTAAAATATTTAACTAGGGAATCGGATTAATTTTCGAGTTAAATAATTTCTTTCATTCAAAAAGGTTTCGATTCGATTATACTTTTGTGTATATTTTACGTTATTTTATTCGAATATGGACCGAATTAGTTAGTTTTCGAATGGCTTTTTTTTTTCGTTTAGGCATGAAGATGAAATAAAGATTCTAGAATTAATGATTTTTCTCCGCATTTGTATTTTATCGTAGGCTTATTGCAATTTGTTTTATTTAATAGAGACGGAACAGTTTTTTTTTTTTTTTAATGAATGATAATGGAATGTAAGCCCGCCTGCGCTAACGGTATTCGCTGGCGGGTACCAGTGAGGGATGATAGGTGAGAATAAACAAGCAGGTCAATTAGCCCACCGTGAGATATTCAACAGGATGGTTTCCAGGGAAGACCACGTGGAAGTCGACCTGATAGGGTATATTGCTAATAATGGGACTGGTAGTCCGCATTACTAACAATCCCTATCCCCCAAGATGGAATAGTAACCTCACATAACCTATCAGCGTACGCTATTAAAATACCAGTGAAGAATAGGTGAAGATATTAACTCAGTTGGCTCGCTGGGCACCAGAAATTAACAACGTTTTCCAATTGAGACCGCATGAAAGTCAATCTGATCTGAACATTTCCTAGCAATGGGACCTCTGTCCCCCACTACTAACAATTCTCCTCTATTCAAGATTGACGATTTTGTTTCAGATGCGAGGAGTGTGGTGGTTTGCGCTCGTGGCGCTTGTCACCGTCCTGGCTGAGACTGTAGAAGGTATTTTTTTCTACTACTAGTAATTCGACCCAGCTTCGCCCGGGTAGATAGAATTTTCAGAAATATTATAAATATATATAAAGCCTTTGTTCAAAAAAATTTTTTACCCAAAATTGGGATATGAATACCTAATCTGGCAACACTAAAGAGGACATAGCTTTCCATATTTTGCCGAGCATATCAGCATCAACGTGACAAAGAGCAAGCCTACCATACTTAATTGAATTAATTTATTAATTAACGGTATTTTAGATCTTCCGAGACTTTGTCGAAATATTATATTGACGCATAAAATTTCTGGCGTCTGCCAGATTCGAACACAAGACAATTGAAATCAAGGTGTGTACCGTTACTATGCCTCGACCTCTATCAACGACTGTAAATAAAACTGACATTAAAAAAGCAGCTGAAGCTATGAAATTTGTGTCTCTTTTATGAAAATTTGTGATAATATCGATCCAAAGGAATATCACCATTATCATTTCAGCCATTAACTGTCCACTGCTGGACATAAGCCTCCCCCATAGACTGCCATAAAAACGGTCCTGAGCCACCTGCATCCACTGACTCCCTGTAACGCATTTCAGGTCGTCACTCCATGTAGTAGGGGGCCGTTCTACACTACGTTTAGCCGTACGTGGTCACCACTCAAGAACCTAAAGAATATATTGAAATAAAAATAAAGCGACAACACCGCTTGCTCCATCAACATACTTCTATCTGTTCTCCTTTAACCAAAGGTTGTCTGTAAGAGATTGCCATAGCGATAAGACCGTCTTTTGTACCTTTATATGTATATTTTAATCTATACTCCATGCTAGTGTATTTCACTTGAATTGTTTATATGTCATTGTTTATTTTTATGTTTTTGCTGCAAAAAAGAGTTAAATAATAATAATAAATAATATACACTGCGAGGTTACCAGTTTGTGATGGATAGGTGAGGACGAAATCAGGCCAGTAGGCACTTTGTGATGAATTCACTAGGTATTAACTATAACCTCGTAAGAAGGGATTGTAAGCAAGACTAGCGACTTCATCACTAGCTCTGTACCCTGTCACATCAATCTCCACGCGGTACCCCCTGGAAACCATTGTGGTTTATTGTAAATAATTTCGTCATAATAGGCCAACTGACCTGCTTTCATTCTCACATATCATACCTCACTATAATATTCCATTATCACCCATTAAAAAAAATCTATATCATTATAGATAACAATATTCATAGATAACTATTCTATCGTGCTGAATTCCAGATGTATTAATCACGATAGGCTAACTGATCTGCCTCTTCATCCTCACCTACCATCACTCACTGTGCCCCGCCAGCGTATACGCTTAGCGCAGACGGAGTTACCATTCCATTATCATCCGTTAAAAATATATATATCCTATTTCCTGGCTAATTGTCCCAGTTACTACCAATCCCTTCTAAAGTAGACAATACCCCAGCCAACCTACTTCTACCTACGAACAAAACAAAATAGTCTATTTCGAGGCAAAACTTAGAGCAGATTTTCTTCATTTCACGAGTCTTTGTTTGTTTAAAACCGTGTACAGTAAACTATCCCTTTATCAAGCTTTGAACACGCCATAGCTAAGTGGACAGATTCTGTTTACTGTTGTCGACACCTCTAATTAAGCGGATTATATTTAGTTTGCATTTAGCGTCTGTAAATATGGTAATTCGCCTGGATTCTTACATGTAAATGGAACTACAAAATGACTTTCTAATCCTGGGGGCTCGATGGCAATAACAATATTTCTAATATCGAACAATTGTCGATGCAGGAGCATTGCTAGATCGGATATTCTTTTCCCAATTTTGAAGATGTGAAATGTTAAAAAAGTTTTCGAAGGTAAATAAAATGAGCGTAGAGAAATTAGAGTATTTTTTGGCAAGTTTGACAACTTTAAACTGTATAATAATTTATCATCCTCGTCATATCAGCCGTTAACTATTCAATGATAAACATAGGCCACCCTCAAAAATGGGGTTTCGTTAGTATTTGGCATGCTTGGCAGGCTAGTTGGTAACCAAAGTTAACCTTTGGTGATGTTTTAAGAAGAACGCTACAACCCATCTGTTGATCATTAAATTTCCTTAGTTGCCTCTTATGACACACATAGGAAAGGATCGAGTGGTCCAATCTATGCCGGGACCACACGGTAATAAAGTATATAAGTTACATAAATTCAGTAGAATACATGGTAACGAAAGTAGAAACATGATGTGAAAAAGTAAAACGTAGACAAGGTTTTTTTTTGTTATTTTTTTTTCATCTTAGTGGTTATATGACAAAGCGTAAAATCCGATATAATTTTATTATTAGATAAGGAGTCCTAAGTCCTCAGGGATAGCAACGCATGAGGGGTATCATGGGCGAAACAGTATACTCTGTTATGTCCATAATACTGTTCATGACTATAGGCGACGGCTACCACTTTCCATCAAGTGGGCCGTCAGCTTGTTTGCCATTCTAAGTTGTATAAAAAAAGGTTAAACAAAGTCATATCAATTTAGAGGTTTTTTTTTTTACATTTGTGTTAAATAATTACATCAGACAACACGCCCGTACAGACAAAACCTATTCCAATAAGTGGCCAATACGAAGGTATTTTGGAAGGATATCCTGCTCTGTTAGAAAGGTTTTTGTAATTTGTGTGAGTGTGCCGGTAATTAGGGTAAAGAAAAAGATGTAGGCAGTTCCGATATGTCATGGCAGTGATTTACAAGGAGAATGTGACTCAGCAAATCGTTGAGTTATATCGACTATTAAATTGGCGTTTTTTCTCGAATGTACGTCTATATAGATTGGAGAAAAAATCATATTTCAAGATAAAACCAGAGGGAGACTTATTTTAAAAGTTGAAACCTCAAATTCACGTATGATTCTTTCTTAAGGTATTAATTCTATAAGTCTTAAAGTACTAGTTCTGTAAGCACTGAGAATTATGCTATTTTTTTTTTTGTTTAAAGCCATTATAATCACTACTTGCTAATATTTGTGACGGGGGGGAAAAGGATTCTTAGTAATGGAGTTTGACAGCCCCATTGCTAGCAATATACCTTATTAGGTCGACCTCCACGTGATTCTTGTTGAATTCGTCACGATGGGCTAACTGACCTGCTTCATCCTCACCTATCATCCTTCACTGGTGCCCCGCCGGTGTATACCGATAGCGCGGGTGGGGTTACCATTCCATTATCATCCATTTTAAAAAAAAAAAATATTTGTGACGCTATAACTGTAATAATTATTAACTCACAAACAACAATTACCAATTTGGTTAATGTGGAACGTCGAGTTGTTTGCAATTCCAGAGGGAGACAAAAGTCGTTTGCTTAGGTACCTCTAACCCATTAGTGTTTCTACCGTGAAGCAGTTGTGTTTGCATGGCTGTGTTTCGGTTTGAAGGGTGAGATAAGGCAGTGAATTTACAAGGCACAGAGGAATAACACCTGAGTCCTGAGGAATGACAACGCATGGGAATATCATGGGCGAAACAGTATACTTTGTTATGTCCATGGTACTGCTCATGTCTATAGGCGACGGTTACAACTTTCCATCAGGTGGGCCGTCAGCTTGTTGACAGCTGATATGAATACAGGCTACTTCAGGACGAAGGAATAGGTTTAACTGTGTACTATTTATTATTATTCTTTCACAAAATCACTTTCATGTTCATATTATATGAATTTTACTTACGAATAAATCTCTAAAACCTTTTCACAACCGAACGCGCAGCCCCGAATTAGGCGTACGGAACAAAATACATTTCTTCGGATCATCAAAATGATACGGGTTACTTTTGTCCGTTGCATATTTTATACTTTTTGTTGTTTGCTATTTGTTTGTGAGGGAACACGCTCCGAAACGTATGTGGCTCGAACACCGACTATATAACTACTTTTGTAATTTATACGCGGCCAGATGTTACCAATGACTGTCTGCGGATTTTGTTATACGAATATTTTAGATTTCTCACATAAAGATTTCAATAATCCTGCACCAGCACCTCTTTCAAGGCACTTTATTCCACGCACAACCACTTTTTGGAATCAACTTCCAGCAGCAGTATTTCTGAACCGATACAACATTGTAACCTTCAAGAAAAAGCATATTCCTTTTTAAAAGGCCAGTAACACACCTGCGATGCCTCTCGTGTTGCGGGTGATCATGGGTGGCAGTGGTCACTTACCATCAGGTGAGCCGCATGCTCGTTTGCCCACTGTTTTGTAAAAAAAAATCGTCTTTATTCAAATACCATAGACTTGTTTACAAGCTGTTTTAAAAAGTCATCTTTTATGATCCTACCGCTAGGTTTGGAATGATAAGACACGTATCTACTGACAAGAATCCGCAAGGAACTTAACAAATCAACATGTAACATACACAACATGTAACATACACGACATGTAATATACATAACATGTGACGTAAACAACATGTAACATGTACATGTAACAACGTGTAACAAAGATTTAAGAGTAATTGGTGCATTATAAAAATTTATTAAATATACTATATCTAAAAAATATAGTTGTTTAAAAGCCCGTGCATGATCGACTAATGCCATGCACGTTTGTCATTCAAGTAATTGTTTATTCACACTTCAATTAAATACCTAAGCCTTAAATGTAACTACAATTTTATCAAACACAATGTTTTCAAAAACAAATTAAATATACGATACCTAAGCCTTTTGTTCCATTCCCGTAAGTGTCGTAAGAGGTGACTAACGAAGCTTAATGGTCCAGGGATGGACAGCAGCTTCTCTCTTAAAACATCATTAAATGTTAATTTTTTTTATGCGTGAAAATGGCATGGTTAGCCCGCCTGCGCTATCGGTATACACTAGCGGGGTACCAGTGAGCGGTGATAGGTGAGGATGAAAAGGCAGGTCAGTTAACCCATTGTAACGAATTCAATGATAAATTGATCTCGATAGTTTCTAGGGGAACCGCGTGGAGGTCGACCTGATAGGGTATATTG